AAGGAATGCATGAGCATAGTGAGAACAGGGGAAGTAAAAACATGACAGTATTTAGAGAAATGGTAGGTATGGGTAAGGGTTGCCCCATGTCCAAATATCGAACAGGCCGAAGACCCATGGTCAAACAGCCAGGTTAGAAATTCCACCACCTGAGCCAAGGCTTGGCAGCAGGAAACCCTCTGCCATCAGACCAACAGCAGAAGATCTTTCACTTGCACTGGTAAACATCTATGGAAAATGGACGAATGGAAGCAGCTAACAGGGAGGGAACTCTACGTGTGAAGCCGGATCTCCTCACCAAGGACCAAACAAAAGCCAGGCATAAAGATGCATGATGCAGAGATTGGGATGATGAGTGATGGATTGAGGTTGACACACAAGGGAAGGAAACAGTGGAAAAGGGACAGGTGGTGAGAGGAGCAGACATCGGAGCCTCAAAAACCAGGGATGTGCAGGCCAATGAGGTGCAATCAGGAGGACCTGACAAGGAGTGGAGTGTACCAGAGAAATCACTCAATGAAGCAAATGAATGGGAGGGTACATATAAAGCCATTTGTGAGACCAATCTTGGCTGAAGGCATGGACAGCCAAAGCCTGTGGATGTGGGACAGGTAACCAAAACAGAAGCAACTTTGTATTGAGGCCCATGGCAAATGCATTTAATTGGAGAGAGCCCCATAGGAGGCAAAGGTCTTTGAAAATGATTGGATCTAATGACCACTCTGTGGGATAAAGTTGGTCCAGATGTGAAAAATGATCTGCCACCAGATTGAAAGCACCCAGCACATGACATGCAAGAAGACGAATGTGATGTGCCTGGGCCCAGCATAGAAGATTCAAGGTCCAAAAACAAAGATCTCTGGACTGGGTGCCTCCTTGGTGGTTGACATGAGCCACCACTGCAGAGTTGTTGGAATGAACCATCACCAGATGGTGACAGGTGAAAGAAAGGCAGTGAGACAAAACCCAACAAACTGCCAGAAGTTTGAGAACATAGATATGTAAGACGAGTTCGTCTGCAGACCAATGGACCGAAGCTTTGTGGTGATTGACCCAAGCCCCCATCCCTGAAGGGAAGCATCTGTGAAAATATGTACATCTGGACATAGCAGAGGAAGTGCCCCCTATGTATGGGCTTTGTCGAGGCTCCACAGCAGATGGACTCTCAGGAAAGGAGGAAGGGAAATGTTGGTGGAAAGAGGATCCCATGCAAGGTTCCATCGTTCATAAAGTGTCCACTGGAGGGATCTCATATGGGCAAGACTGAGAGGGCACAGTGGACTAAAAGTTCCATAGAACTTAGGCAGAAAGGAGAAGGGAGAACTCGACTAATGTTGGTGTCAAAGAAGACCCCCAAATGCACTAAGTATTGGGTTTGTCAAAGGACCAACTTCTCCAATTTTATCAACCTGCCCATCCGAGCTGCCACAGAAAGGAGTTTGTGAATGTGATTGGTCGACTCCTGCTTGGAATGAGCTAGAAGTAGCCAGCTTTCCATGTAATGATGAAACTGCAACCCAAAAGTATGAATATGACGAGAAAATGACTGAACGACGTGACAAAACATGTATGGAGCCGAGGCAAATCCGAAGGGGAAAGCCCAAAATTGGTAAACCACTTCGAGATGAACAAACTGAAGATAAAGATGAGATTGAAGGACTATTGGGATGTGGAGATAGGCATTGGAAACATCCATTTTTTGTCATCCACAATCAAGGGGGAAAAAGCCCATCTGATGGTGAGAAGGACTCCAATGAAGTGGTTGATGCATGACAAATCAATGACCAGTCACCAACCCACGGTTTTTTGGGGACCATGAAAAGACGGGAGTGAAACCCCTCCAAGGGAGGATGAACTGGTTCGGTAGCCCACTGCAAATGCAAATCCTGAACTGCTTCTGACTGATGGCAGCAAGTCACGTGATCTTGAGGAGGAGGAAATGAAATGGGGTGAGGATAAATGAGATGCAGTGAAAGAAACATGAGAACAAGTCCCTCTGAAAGAATCTTTTGTTACCCATTATTCCTCGACATAGGGGAGCCAACGAGGAAGAAAATATAACAAAAGAGCTCCCAAAAGCCCCAAACTCACAAGGTAGTCACCAGTACTGTTGACAACGGACAATACATCGGCAATGACCTCGACGAAAAGTACCCGGATTTGAAGGAACATGTTAAGAATGGGAGGATGAAGGATGGGAAACACAAATAGGTGGCAGGGAAGGCTCTGGTTGAGACAAACAGGCCACAAAAGTTAAAAGATGGCTCAATATCGCCAGCATGGTGTCAAAGACATAATGTCGAAGAAAAGACATAAATCCCTGAGATAAGTGGAGGGTAAATTAACATAAGTCAAAATGGAGCCCCTACTGATAAGGTTCCCAAAACAAAGAAACCACGTATGAGTCAAGGAAGGAATACAGGCCAAAGTGGAAGAGAGAAGGTGAAGAGTAATGGCAGAAAATCCCCCGGGATTTCTGTGGAGAGCTTCTGAGAGGAGATGTATAGAAGACAGGTATGAAGAAGGGTAGTAAGGGTAAGATGAAGACGACAATATTGGGCATGTGAGACTAACATTAGATTCGGGAGCTGCTCCCAAAGAGATAATAGGGAACCCAACAATTGGCATACTGATCCCTTCACCTAACTCGGAGAGAAAGTGATCTGCATGGAACCGAATATCATGAGAGGGAGGAATTACCAAAAATGGTTGTGAAGAATGCCTATTCAACAAAGAAGGACGAGGAGAATAAGAAATAGGGGAAAGAGACAAAACATTACAAACCTGAGATACAAAATCCGTGAAAGCCGAGGAAGGCCCAGGTGAATCATTAGGCTGGAACTGGGAAGGAACGTCAAACTTGGGAAGAGGAAAAAAGACGACCAAAATCGTCGTCATGCTGAATAATGTTAGCAGACTCTGAAGGAGCTCAGGCAATGCCAGGGGCAAAGTGTGACCCAAGTAGCATTCAATCTCCTGAATGACAAAATCAGAAAGACCCATAGTCGAGTCAACTGCACTTGAGGCCTGAGATAGAAGATTGGTCATTGGTGTGACCTCAGAAGTGGCAACGTTGACTTTGGAATTCATAAATCCCGAAAACTGAACAAACTGTCTAGTGCAGAAGAGTGACGATAATAAAATGGGAGAAATGTGATAATGTATAACCAAAAATAAATAAATAAAAAATTTAACCACTTCAAACGAAAATCAAAAATTTGTCACACAGGAAATACGAAGCACTAAAAAAAACGTCTGTACTCGAAAGCTGGCAAACGAGAAGTGAAAATTTGGTAGAGGAATGTAGAAGGAGTTACATGAGTATAGTATGCTACTATTGGTTAATAGATGACGCATGATGATTTGCATGAGAGTCACATTGGAAAGTACTAATTCCAATAAGGAGGAAGTGAAATGCTTGTGGCATGCATAAAGAAAATGTTCACATGTAGAGGCCAGCACTAAACGAGAATAGCTAATCTTGTGAGAGAGGTAAGTACCGTATCGGAATTATTAACTTGTAATAACAGTGGTACATTCAATAGTACATGAAAAAACGATTTGACTGCTGTTAATGCGATTATTTGTTACCTTATGTGGCTTCATCAAACCTTTCATTAAGCAATGAAACAAATTTGTGTCAATTGAAAAAAAACAAAATTTACACCTATTTTTTAAATTTCTACTGTGTTTTTTCAAGATATCTTAATTTGCAAATACATTACTAGAAATGAATAACTATATAAGATAAATTTATTATACCACAAGGAATAAGCGTAAATACAATATTTTTATACACACTCGCAAATTATCCCACCTAGGATAATAAAAAAACAGTAACAAAGTACCGAAGAAACACATGACAGGCATATCAAGTGTCCATAACAACCACAGATACATATTAAACAGTCATTAACAGGCATGGAAATTACACATCTAAAAGAAGGGAAATGAACAACATTTTACCCTGAACAGACTTTGTGTGCATGGGAACAAAATGGGCAGGTAAGAAACCCAGAGAGTTCAGCTACGAACATTCCTAATTCTTAACTAATGAACAGAGGGAAGCCAGTCAGCCAGCAGCAACAATCCTCACAAGGCTTTATCTGACTATTTGAACAGGATTGACTGTCACTTTTAAAGTGTCCACAGCTGAAAATATAGGGTATGTTCATCTGCATCACGTCTCAAGCTCTGAACCTTTCAATCTGCAGTCTTACACGGTAATCACTAGGCCGTGACAAGTCCAGATGGAAAATATTTTAACCACCCACTAAAGAGCAGATATGAGACATTCATTAATGGAAAAACACAAACAACCACTAGAGGGCAGATAAATGATGTAGCGCTTAGATAAAAAATATCTTAACCAGCCCCTAAACAGCAGGTATGAAACATCCATCAAAAGAAAAATATATCAAGCAGCTACTAGAGAGCAGACAAACTACACAACTACTGAAGGTTTAAATAAGTTTGTAAGTTTATATTTTCCAATGTTCCACCAACTTTTAGGTGCAACTGATAACTTGCACCTTAAAATAAGAAACCCAATGTTCTTCTTGTAGTTTACCTGAGCTTCCTATTTTCTAATCCAATTTCTGTTTACTTCCCATAATTTAAATTTAATGAAGCCAGATAATAGGAGTGCTTTCAGAAGATCAGTCTTTCTTCACAGACGAACTCAGAATTAACAAGGTTTTACTTCTTGAAACTACTCACAATAAAAGTTATTTTTATTGACTTCTTAATTACAAATGATTACAGTGTATTATGAAATTTTGCAAATTTTGAAATTTTTACTCAAGCTGAATTTCTATTACAAGTAATTATGCAAACAAAATGGTTACTCTTACTTGAAATGCAAGTGACAGACAATTGTTTTTTGAAGGTACTTTGCATTATAAAATACTGTACTATGCTTTTTGCCATAGATTTTACACTAGTTAATTAAATAGAAGGTACCTAAGTTTAATACTCCAGAAGTTAACTATTTATCTCACCTTGTTCCATAACCTATATCTGATTTTTCAACAAACATAGAACTTAGTTTTTCTAAGTGGTTTTCAGGATAAAAATAATCACACTGTATTCTCATTGCTTCTTGGACTGGATATCTATGGAACACAAATCAAGTCAAACTTATAAAGAGAGCTACTAGTTAAATTTTTCTAGTATACAAAAGTGACCATAGACAGGATAAAGTTAATCTCGATACAGCAAAGTTCTGAAACACTGTACTTTGTTATGCATTAAACCAATTACTTAAATTTTTAAAATAATAACAATATAGAAATAACAGATTAATTTGTTTATTAAGTTTACTCTTTTCATGTTATGGTTGAAAATATCACAAGAGTATCCAACTGATGATCAAATACATTTTACTTATTATTTTTACCAGAAGTTCTTAACAAACCATTATATGCATGGCTAGTTTAATCCGATGTGTTCACATGTTTCTGGTAAGATGGTTTTTAAATAAAGAAAAATACAGATTATTTTTACTACTATAAAAACTTTTGGGGGTCATCATTAAATAAACAAATATTTTTTTAATGAGATTTGATTTCTTCTCCATCCACCAACAATCTGACCCATCCAGGAAATTTGTAAACGTTCCCTTACCAGGATATCAAACATGATTTGTATACTTTCCCTTACCAGGATATCAAACATGATTTGTATACTTTCCCTTACCAGGATATCAAACATGATTTGTATGCTTTCCCTTACCAGGATATCAAACATAATTTGTATACTTTCCCTTACCAGGATATCAAACATGATTTGTATACTTTTCCTTACCAGGATATCAAACATGATTTGTATACTTTCCCTTACCAGGATATCAAACATGATTTGTATACTTTTCCTTACCAGGATATCAAACATGATTTGTATACTTTTCCTTACCAGAATATCAAACATGATTTGTATACTTTTCCTTACCAGGATATCAAACATGATTTGTATACTTTTCCTTACCAGGATATCAAACATGATTTGTATACTTTTCCTTACAAGGATATCAAACATGATTTATTTCTTGATTGTCCACAATGTGCAAAAAAAAACAATTATTAATCAATTTTTATCTTATTATAATAAGTTTCGAAAAGAAAATGTCCCCATGATGATAATAAGATTGCCTTTACAATCATTGACATAAATGTTTTTAAACTGATTGGCTAATGTAATAAAACCACTCATTAACTTTTCCTGGGAATACAAAATGCCTGGCTATGAAAGGGTTAACTTCCTGTTAAATCTCCTTATCAGTAGAATGGCCCGGCATGGCCAGGTGGTTAGGGCGCTCGACTCGCAGTCTGCGGGTCGCGGGTTCGAATCACCATCACACCAAACATGCTCGCCCTTTCAGCCATGGGGGGCGTTATAATGTGATGGTCAATCCCACTCTTTGTTGGTAAAAGAGTAGCCCAAGAGTTGACGGTATGTTGGTGATTACTAGCTGCCTTTCCTCTAGTCTTACACTGCTAAATTAGGGACGGCTAGCGCAGATAGCCCTCGTGTAGCTTTGCACGAAATTCAAAAACAAAAACTAAACAATAAAACGTTATTATCTATAGAAATTCGTATAGACCTATCTGCACCCCAGCATTGGTAGCGATCTACAAGGAATGTGCAATATAGTTAATAGTATATTTTGGAATTTTCCAGCAACATCTACACTAGTTTGGATTTTATAGACTTACAGCATCTGTAATAATTGCATCATTTATAATTTGATACACTTATATCTGTTATACCTTAATCAATTATGGTTTGATATACGTTAACACCTGTATTACTGCATGTATCTCTTATGATTTGGTCTAGGCTTGTACTTAGATTTCCTCCAGCAGTACGTGAGTTGTATCTAAAATATATGTATATTAGCGTTTAGTTTGTCTGTTAACATACAAACAAACTCTTCATAGTTTTTTTTTCCTTTTTGTTTCGAATATTCGCGTAAAAACTACACAAGAGTAATCTGCTAGACTAAATGGAAGGCAGCTAGCACACACCACCAACTCTTGAAATATTATAATCGAATAGTGGAATTTGACCGTCACTCTTATAACACATCCATGGCTCAAAAGTGCAAACGCGATTTTACGCAACGGGAAATGAGCCGTGAATCCTTGGATTCACAGTTCGGCACGCTAAACACTAGGCCACGCTAGACCAACTTCAGAATGTGCATGTGTAAAATATTTCTGAATGTTTACTTACATTGTTTCTACTTCTGTTTCCTGAGAATGACCAGTACATTTTGAAGGAAAAAATTTATAGATTATAAAAGAAAACCTCACTTGGAAAAACAGGGCTCATCAAGCAGTCTGAAACATGACAGGTGTTATTTATATCATCAACTGCGTAAACAGCAAATGTCATGATATGAAATATATAAGGTAATTAAAGTCCCCCGATAGAACAGCTGTAAGTCTACGGAGTTACAATGGTAAAATCCAACATTTGATTCTCCGCGATGGACACAGGAGATAGCCCTACGTGTCGTTTCGCTAAAATAACCAAATTAAAGTGTAATCATTATAAATTCTTACTTAAATCAATTCAAAATTAGAGTAAAGATTAATAATACAATATTATTTATTCATTTATTTTTAAAAATATTTATTTATTTATTTTCATTTTTACTTGAATTTACTCTCACTGGCGAAACAGCGAGCTACTAATATAACAAAATTTAAATCTGCATATATATATATATATATATATGAACCCAAGAATTACTAATGGATATGCACCCAATCAGGTTTCTAAACACATTTTCCTAAGCTACTTATGCACCATATTGTTTGTTGGTTACAGGTTATAAAAATAAAACTCAAATATCTCTGTAATTACTGCTGAAGTGTTTTAAATTAAAAATGAATGATTTCATCCGATTGTTTTGGTCAGTTATCTATACTGAATGTATACAAGCAAAAAATATAACAAATTTTCAACGTGATGCAACGTGTGGACCCCACGACTAGCTGATGCGGCTATCTTTATATAAATATAATAATACTGTCTGTTGTATGTCCATGTAACTACTTCGCAGGGTGCGGATGGATCTTCACTAAAATTGCTATGGAAGTTCATTGGGCCTATGCGGGGGTACATACAAATTTTCAGTTTTGCGGTTTTTATGGGTGTTTTTTACCACTATCTGACCTCCTGTGGATGGAGCTTCACCAAATTTGGTATGGAGATTCATTGGATACATGGGAAGATACATGCAGATTTGCGATTTCACATTTTGTGTTTTTCAGTTTTTATGGGCGTTTTTGCGTTTTTCAGAATTACATATAAGAGATATAACTTTTCATGTCCAAAGATAACCTTTCATTAATCATGAATTTACATAACTTCCGTCCAGGGAATGGGTACTCCAGCTAGTTACCGATATATTCGCAAAAATAATTTGATAATAGAGCGTTAAAGTATATATTTCTTAAAACAAGATTTCTATCCAAGATTTAAATACATATGACATCACTCCGTAGCTCACACCTCCACTTGGAAGTTATGATGATATTGTAGCCTATGGAAATATGAAAAACCGGAAAAGTCATCGTAAACCTCGTTCAAAGAATGGTGACAAAGCAGGATTTTTATCCGCGGATTGCAGATTTAGCTTACTAGAGGGCAGCACCAACCAGAAAAGTTCTACACCATCGAACGTTGGTAAGTTGAAAATTAAGCCGAAATTTCCCTATGATATAAATGCGTGAAGCGCAGGAATTATTATCTGATATTATTTACATAAACGTCAAATTAATGCTGTTACAAGCTACAGTTATGAAAAATCCATTCAGGTCTGTCATTAATAATTGAAAACGTATATCAAACTAAATTAAACGGTAATTGTAATGTGTTCTAGTTAATGTATTGATTCAGTTCCTTATGAAGGATAACCGAAACGACTTTATTGATAAAATATAACTAATTCTGTGTCTCTTTCGATGACCTTAACTTACCAATAATCTGGATCATATTTCAACATTAGGCTTTGAATGTTCGTATTATTAGTAACTTCCGATCAAAGCATGCTACCTACTTAGAGCGAAACTAAAAAATCAACCTGATAATGAGTTTAGCTAATAAAATATACTTTTGTTACGTTTTTACTTATAAAAACTAGATTCCAGTGGGTCAGCAGTAAGTTTATGGACTTATGACGCTAAAATTCTAGGTTAGGTTCCCGGCAAGTAACTCATTGTGTAGCTTCGCGCTAAAAAAGCAACATAAAGATTAGAATGCATTGTTTCATCAGTTGCGTGCGGTCGCTGTTAACGATATTTTCGGCCGTAAACCCAATAATATCTCACGAGATTCGACCATCTTACAAGACTTAGTTTAGTCCTAAATACATATATTAAGCCATGCGTGCGAACCAATTTCTATAATAAAAGTATAATAATAATATAGTAGATATATTAAACACTCTAACCAATACTTTAAAGTAACAATAAAGAAATAACTGTGTATACCTGACTTACGGAACATGCTAACTCTAGCTGCTGGTTTCAAACACTGCTGTATAAAATGTACTGTTTGTTGAACAACATAACATCTCTATGATTACGTATTCGCTCAAATTTCCATAACCCTCCCTAAAAATGTCTTGTGTCCAATGAAAACCCTATAAACAGCTCCGTCAGGGAAGAATCTGAGATGAATTATAATGACACCTTACTGTTGAGTAACATGACATTACCAAAAGTACAGGCAAAAACTAATGTTTATGAAGGTACAAAATAATAAATATGAAATGTACAATAAAGAGCTAAAATATTGTTCTACAATTAAAATATACCAATGATAATAAAGAAAACGATATGTTAAACATATTGTAAAGTGTGTCTAATATAACTGTGTACAAACAGCCATCGTCGAAGTGGTACATTCGTAATTTCTGCATATAAAACCTGCTTCTGAGTGTCGATAATTTAGGGCTACGCACTGGATTGGCAGCTTTAATGTCAAGATGAAAAATTATATATATTTTATATTGATCCATTTGAAATTGAGTGTTAACAAGAACGATTAGAACGCTGTCATGCTATCTTTGAATTTTAAACATAACAGTTACATCCTGTATCGT